ATTTATCTAAGGTATTTATCAGAATTAATTTGTATTAGTCGGATATTTTATTCAAATAATGATTATTCATTGTTCGTCATAAATTATTCTACCTATTTATTCGAAACATTCTTTGTGGGAGTAAGGATTGAAAAATTCATCGAGTGTGTTTCTAATCAATAGTGTGTTTCACCATTTGATTCGGCTATGCTTTTTATTGTTCTGAAATTTTTAATTTTTTGTTTGCAGGAAGGTAAATGTGAGCTACAGAAGAATTAATTTGGTAATTTCAATTTTTAAGATCACGACTTAAACCTCCCTCTAAATGTATTGGGACGCTTATAGAAAATTAAATAAATTTGAAAATCGATGGGAAATTGTTAGAATTTCTTTAATTTATTCCGAAGTGTATTATATTAAACTGTGAAAAGTAAATATGTACAGGGTGAGTCACAAATTAGTCCCCAATGATTTTTCAGCCCCTTCCGATGGTCTGACAAAATAATGTTTTGTATCAAAGTTAATTACTATTTAACCGACAAGAAATTGCACGTGTTTAAATTTAAAACAAATTGAACTAACTTTCTTTATCCGATTGTCTTCGTTCAGTTTCTACAGTACAATATCCGAAGCAGTTTGAAAAAATATCTCACACTATATTTATACTTGGACGGCTCAGAAGCCAACAAGTGTAAGTCCATTAACCTCAAAACTGAGATAAATAAGAATTTTGCAAATTGACTATGTGAAAAATAACAGCGCTATTGATAATGCAAAGCACAATTTTTTATTACAAGATGCTGTAATAAAAATGTCAACGTTTTTTTTTAGAAAAAACAGTCTCTAAACGATTTTGTTTAGTCATTTCGTGGTCGACATAAGTGCTGCTATCTATTGTTTATTTATACTATATATGTGTATATATACTATACTATACTATACTATACTATATATATTATATACACTACTATACATATATATATATATATACTATATACTATATACACTACACTACTATATATGCTATATATATATAAGATATAAGATATAATAATATAATTTTATTATTATTTTATTTATATATATATATATATACTATTTATACTATTTTATTTTTACTATATTGATTTATTGCACTGCGTAACTCATTTAAAAGAAAAAGTGGACTTATTACTGATTGACCGACCAACATAGTTTCACTCTCGAGACATCCACGAGATGAATTTGATTTGCAGAAGTACGAATTTGATTAGACAAAAAGGTGAATAAAAATGTAACAAAAAGGCCCGTAAAGCCTGCAAACGAGGCACTCGCCCAAGCAGAAAAGCGAGGACACAGCGTTCGATCAGAAAAATGAAAGACCACCGCGGTCGGTTGAACAGGCGCAATAAAAAATCGGTGGTTTCGCCGCGATTCCGTGACCGGGTATCGTTAGCACAACGAGGAAAGTTCGACGCGATCGAAAATTAAAGGCGGACGAATGCGAGAGTTTTCTGATTCGCTTTTAATGCTCTCCTACCGTGACTAATTACCGAGCGCCGATTCGTCATAATTAAGAAAGCTCGTCGTCGGCAGCTTATTAATTTTTGTGTCGGGCGGAAGTTGTGCACGGGACGGGTTAGCGCAGCGGGATGGTATCGACAGTGTGGCATTCAAAACAGAATCTGGGTCGAAATAACTGCGCTCACCGCAACACGTGCACCGATCTGCGGCGCACCCGGGGGTTCCCCGCCCCTAACTCTCGCCGAGGAGCTGCAATTCCACGAATTAATTACCCGCTACTGCAGCCCCCGGATAACAAGGGATATAGAGAACGAGCGGGATAAATCACGTACTAACTACTATCAGTCGTGCTTTCGACGAAACGCCTCGGAAATTTCACTTCGCTCGGACGACGGGGAAACTTTCCGATGAAATTTCCGTGGATCGACGCCCCGGAGAACAAAAGTACCGCCACTGGCAGCAGTGGCTTGGAAGGAGTGGAGGTGGAGGGGGAGGGGAGGGTAGGCGTGGGTGGTAGCGACGATGTCTTGATGTATTTGCACACGGCCAACAATGAGGTCGTTCGGAGAGACGCGACGAAAGCAAGCACAACACCGTGACGCGGAGCTTTTCCAACGAAGATTGTTTGTCCGCGAAGTGCACCGTCGCAAAAGAACTTTCCGACGTTCGACGATGAAGGGACAAAAGCCAAGCTTTGGTTTCGTCTGGTTTCTTCGTGGATTGTTCGGGGCACGTTGTCGGCCCGCCGCGACTAGTGATTGCTAGTTCCTGCGCTCCTTATCCGTCGATTAAGAAAGTAATTAAACAGAGTGTCAGATCAATTGGCGACCCCGTAATTGCTCTGAATACGGTTGCCTTCAAAAGTCGTCCTACGTCCGATATATAAATAATGTAACAGCGGTAATGAATGTTGGGGGTTTCGTGTAATCAATTTATTCACGTTTCATTTCACGAAGATTCGGTATTATTCATTTGATTTCGAATCCAAGTTGGACGTTATTCAAGTTCTTTCGAAAATAAATTTTCGTGAAATAATTTTATTTGATTGGATTCGGTTCGGAATAACAATTATTATTCTATCTACTTATTTGAATAATTCTTTATTTTTTGTTCGAATAAATTATCCGAATTTTTACGCAATTTTTTTTAAGGTTACGTGCGTTGTAAATATGAATCCTGGAATATATAGCGACTA